CACATTCCCGACCTGAGAAAAAACTTAATATCCGTAGGTCAATTAGCTGGCGAAGGATATACTACGACCTTCCATGGAGATAATTGGAAAATCTCAAAGGGCGCAATGACGATTGCCTGAGACAAGAAGAATGGTACCATATATATGATAGCAGGTGCACGTTGTTTGATCTCAGTTGTAGTAGGCAATGAAACTTCAAAGCTGTGGTACCAGAGACTCGATCATATGAGTGAGAAGGGGACGAAGATCATGCACATAAAGGAAAAACTCCCAGGTCTAGAATTAGTTGATTTAGATATGTGTGAAGAATGCATACTTGGAAAGCAGAAGAGAGTCAGCTTTCAGACAAGTGACAGAACCCCCAAGAAAGAGAAGTTAGAGCTCGTTCACTCAGATGTTTGGGGACCAACCACCACCACATCCACTAGTGGAAAACACTAGTTCATGACTTTTATCGATGATCACTCTCGGAAAGTGTAGGTCTGCTTTCTGAAGCATAAGTCAGAAGTGTTTGAAGCTTTTAGGAGATGGAAAGCTATGGTCGAGAATGAGTCCGGACTGAGAATAAAGAAGCTCAGGACTGACTATAGCGGTGAGTATGAAGACACCAGATTCAAGAAGTTCTGCTATAAGCACGGGATCAGAATAGAGAGAACCGTGTCCGGCATGCCTCAGCAAAATGGTGTAGCTGAGCGGATGAACAGAATGTTGACAGAGAGAGCCAGAAGCATTCGGATACAGTCAGGCCTACTGAAGCAGTTCTGGGCAGAAGCAGTCAACACAGCATCTTACTTGATCAATCGAGGTCCATCGTTTACATTGGAGCACAGAATACCAGAAGATGTATGGTGCGGAAAGGAGGTAAAACTCTCACATCTCAAAGTTTTTGGTTGTGTAGCTTACGTGCATATTAGTGATCAAGGTAGGAATAAGCTTGATCCTAAGTCAAAGAAATGCACTTTCATCGGCTATGGTGAAGATGTGTTCGGCTACCGCATTTGGGATAACGAAAACAATAAAGTGATCCGCAGCAGAGATGTGATATTCAGCGAGAAGGTGATGTACAAGGACATGCACAAGACAGATGACTCAGAGAGCGAGTCAATATTTGTAGACGCAGATGATGTTCCGAGTAACCTCTCGGAAGAACCCAATGCAGAAGATCCTCAGCCAGAAGAGCCTATTGGACAAGATGGTGCGCAAGATCCCGACACATCAGCTCCGATTTTGAGGAGATCTTCACGGTCTCCTATGCCCAACAAGAGATACATGAACTATCTGTTACTGACAGATGGAGGGGGGCTTGAAAGCTATGATGAAGCTTGTCAGGGTGGAGATGCGAGCAAGTGGGTGCTTTTCATGAAAGATGAGATGAAGTCTCTCATCTCAAATCAGACGTGTGAACTAGCTGAGTTGCCTACGGGTAAGAAGATACTCCACAACAAATGAGTGTACCGGGTGAAAGAGGAGCAAGACAGCTCCAGAAGATATAAAGCTCGACTAGTTGTCAAAGGATTCTAGCAGAAGGAAGGAATTGACTACACCGATATTTTTGCTCCCGTGGTGAAGCTAAATAGTACTATCAGGACAGTAATGAGTATTGTAGCTATTGAAGATCTTTATCTCGAGCAGTTGGACGTGAAGACGAAGTTTCTTCACAGAGATCTAGAAGAAGAGATATACATGCACCAGCCAAAAGGTTTCTCAGAAGAAAAGGAGAAAAACCTGGTGTGCAGACTCAAGAAAAGCTTGTGTGGCCTGAAACAAGTCTCAAGACAGTGGTACAGGAAGTTTGACGACTTCATGCACAAGGAAGGTTTTTAGAAATACAACACTGACCACTGTTGCTACTTCAAAAGATATCAGTCCAGTTATATCATCCTACTGCTGTATGTTGATGATATGTTGGTTGCAGGTGCAGATATGAAGGATATCAGGAGTTTGAAGCAGTAGCTGTCAAAGGAGTTTGATATGAAGGACTTGGGTCTAGCGAAGAAGATCCTTAGAATGCAAATCACGAGAGATAAGAAGAGAGGTCTCTTGCAATTATCTCAGACAGAGTACATCAATCGTATTTTGCAGAGATTCAACATGGGTGACGCCAAACCAGTGAGCACACCCTTGGCCAGCCATTTTCATCTATCGAAGGATCAGTCTCATCAGTCAGAAGAAGAAAAAGAGAGTATGGCTAAGGTCCCTTACGCCTCAGCTATCGGAAGTTTAATGTACGCAATGGTCTGTACGAGACCAGACATTGGCCATGCAGTGAGAGTGGTCAGTCGGTTTATGTCAAATTTAGGAAAAGCTTATTGAGAAGCGGTCAAGTAGATTCTGAGGTATCTATGAGGCACCACACAGAAGTGTTTGGACTTTGGTAAGGGAGAGGTGGAAGTGCAATGGTACGTAGATGCAGACTTTAGAGGTGAAGTCGATCACCGAAGAAACACCACCGACTATGTATTCACCGTTGGAACTACAGCTGTTAGTTGGATGTCATAAATACAGAAGATTGTCACTCTGTCCACTACAGAAGCTGAGTATGTTTCAGTGACTGAAGCCAATAAAGAGATGATATGACTTCAGAGTTTATTAACTGAGTTGGGATTCAAACAGGAGAGGAATGTCTTGCACAACGATAGTCAGAGTGCGATTCACTTGGCTAAGAATTCCGCATTTTATTCTAGAACGAAACATAATGGGCTTCAGTACCACTTCATCAGATCCATGTTGGAAGATGATGTGTTGAAACTGGAGAAGATTCCAGGAAGTAAGAATCCAGCAGATATGTTAACAAAGGCGGTGACCATTCAGAAACTGGAGTTGTGCGCAACTTCAGTTGACCTTCATGCATAAGTGATGAGGGCGGAGCCACACATGAGGAGGTGTTTAATGAGATAGTCTGCTGACGGTGGTTTGGTCTCAAAGTGGGAGATTGTTGGAATTGGGGGTGAATCCCAAACCTTGATTCAGGCGAGCGGGGCTGCAAGTGAGGCGAGCTCGAGATCAGCGGCTTCAGGCGAATTCGAGCGGCTTCAGGCGAGGTCGAGTTGGCGAACTCCAGACGGGCTCGCGACTTGCAGGCGAGCTTGAGAAAGCGAGCTTGGATGTTCGCGGCCCGCAGGCGAAGTCGTGCGTAGCATTGCGTGGCGACAGCCTGTCGCCAACCAGGGGGTTTTCCTTATAAAAGGGAACCCAAAAACCCTAGCCACAGTAGGTCGCTCCCCTCTCTCTCGCTCTTCTCCTTCTCGTGTTCATCCAGAGGCGACGCTTCTGTTCTCTTTTTCTCTCTCTCTCTCTTCAGCTCTCAATAGTGATTTGAGGGGAGAATTTAAGAGGAAATTAAAGAGAGAATTAAGAGGGAGTATTAAATAGAAGAGAGAATTAAATAGGGAATTGTTCGTTGTAGCTACAGTAACAATTATTGTATTTATTGAGAGATCTCAAATTTAAGATCTGCTTTTGCATTGTAATTTCTTGTTGATTAATAAGAAATTAATTGTGTGGCTCCCAAGAACATAGGCAATTGCCGAACCTTATTAAAATTTAGTTTATTTTCTCTATTCCGTGTTTCTGGTTTCGGCGAAAATTCCCCCACAAAGTACTCGCCTTCAACTTTTCTATAAGAACGAAGAGCTAAAAATAATTAGTTAGCAGGACAAATTTTCAAAACCATCCACTTTTAAAATTTATTTATAAAAAACGACCCATTTCAATCTTTATTTTAAAAACCAACCCAGTTGGTTAAAACTAGGTCGGTTTTAAAAAAAAAAATTTTCCAAACTTCACGGGAGTTGAACTCCCGTGAAGTTTTGTTATGAGAAAAAACTTCACGGGAGTTCAACTCCCGTGAAGTTTGGAATTTTTTTTTTTAAAAAACAGACCCAGTTTCATCCAACTAGGTCTATTTTTGAAATTAAGGTTGAAAGGAGTCTTTTTTTGCGAATAAATTTCAAAACCGGATGGTTTTGAAAATTTGTCCTTAGTTAGCAGGCATCTCGGCCGTTTATTCAGTGGGCTCCACATAATCATAGATCGCCAATTCCAGCCAATATCATTCAGTCATTTCTTCAGGCAACTGGTCTACAAAGTTCAGGTACGTAGCGAATTCTTCTACTAATTTTGCCATTTCTTCTTCTTTTCTCAAGGAACCTCTTTGTTTGAAATCAAATTTAGGTTCATGATCTCTGTGGGTTTTGTTTAATTAGGTCATCCGGAAATTTTCTTTTCTATTAGGGATTTTCCCGAAAATTCTCTTTGCTTGAATTGTGCTTAATCGTGTTCTTGTATCTTAAAGTTGAATTTAGACAAATATGATTATCGTTTGAAAGCAAAGTAATGCTCTCATTTTTTTTTAACTCTCGCCTTTCTGAAATCGTTGTTCATGTGCCTGTCACTTAATTTAGCCAGTGCCTAGCAAACATAAAAGGTGTAAAAAAGCATAGGTAACATGAAACTATTTTTTATGACGACTTTAGTTTATAAATGTTTTTATGACGCAAGGGGATTTTTTTGTCATGCTTTATATTCAGTAAAATGACCTCACTTATTTCGAGCTTGTTATGTACTGTTACAAATCGAATGGCATAGTTCCTATGACAAGAAACTATTTTTTTTTTTTGAAAAATTAAGGATAACAAGTTTACATTTTGCTCAACGACTTATAAAGTGTTAATTTTATCAACTAGCTAGTTCTAGGGAAACACTAGAGAAAGAAACATTTACGTGGTTCATACGTTAGCTGAGCGCACAAGCTTGTAACCCACACATAGGTAACAAGCTTGTGCGACCCAAGGTTTTAAATGTCGGCCGACATGTCTGACATGTTGGCCGACATATCGGTTTGAGGGCTTGACCGACACGACATGGACGTTTTCAACTCGTATGTCGGTTTTCAAGGTCAAATCGAAAATATCAGGGTCATATCGGGCATATCGACCTATTTTTTAGCTTTGAAAAATCGGTCGATATGCTACTTTTTTTAAAGATCTGTTTTTTGTTATCGGGTTTGGGTTTTGTGATACATACCCAAACTCGTTTGACCCGTTCTCATGTTTAAGGGTTTCTTATGAACCCGATAAAAAGAATGTATGAACCCAAATCCATATATTATTTACTTTTTTATATGTTTAGTCTATAGAATTTATAAATTATGCTTATATTGAATTTATAAATGCTTAGATTACATTTAGGACATGATATTATACATATGCGTACTACCCGATATGGCAATTCGATATTTAGTCAATGTCCCCCGATATATCCCTGATTTTTGCTATTCGACATGGATTTCAGCCATCCGACATGAACCCGACATCCGACATTTAAAACCTTGGTGCTACCAATCTCAGCAGTATTCGAATTGTATGATTTTGTACAAATGTATCAATGTAACTCCTAGTCAAGTCAGTGTGGAACTAAAAAAGCCTCATAAAGCCATTACAAACAAGTGAGTCTTTTCCCCGTCTTTCTTTTCATGTGAATTTCTCTTCTGAGAATCAGTCCAGAAAATGAAGTTAGAGAATTATTATTGACCGAATGAGTTCTATGTTTCTCATCCTTGTGCGTTCGTCAACATCTACAATAGATATAGATCTAATTGGCTTCATATAAAATAATTTTGTTACTGACATGGGAATTTTTCTAAATTTTCTTTTGTAATGATGCTGTTAGCCTATGTTGAACTTAATAGATACAAGTTCCTTATGATAAAGCTCCTTTTCTGTATGTTTATAATCACTAGACTAACCTCATTTTTTAGCTTATTATATACTGTTCTAAAGTGACTAGTGTAAATTTTGGTGAAAAGACTGGTTGTCTAAAATTAAGCTATAACGATGACAAACTTTACCTTTTACTCAAGGATTCAAGAGCTAAGGCATGACCATGAGCTATGACTAGGAAACACTAGAACAACAAATTTTAACGTGGTTCAAAGATCATCATTAGTTGATTATATGATATGATATAAATGTGTTAACATACTTTCTAGTTTAGCCACATGGGACTAAAATTTTGTCGACTTCCTATTGAATTTTTTTTTATGGCCAAGATGAATATTTTCTTTTGATTTTTTTAATTTCCTTCTCAGAGGTAAATGTTTATGAAGTATGAATATAATACATACATGTTTCCTTATGAAAAAAGCTCCTTTAATAAGTACATGTTTCCTTATGACAAAGACTCCTTTATTTATTCTTCTCTATACTCACAAAAAAGGCTTTAGTAGTTTTGAGCTTATTGTTACTTCCATAAATAGATTGACATGATTCTTAATGGGACGAAGCATTTTCTAAAATTAGTGTAGGATTTTTTTTTAACTTTTATAGGATTGAAGTGCAAAAAGATGACCGTTTGAGCTAGTCCTAGGGACACCCTAGAATGAGAAATCTTAACGTGGTATAAGGTTAGCTGAGTGCACGAGCTGTGCACTCCACCCATTCTAGTGAAAAATCCCATTCGATCATCTTATAGCCCCTGCACAGGTAACAAGCTCACGCAACCAAGCTCGGCATTAGTTGATGTTACAGTTTGGTATAAATGCACAAATATACCTTCTAGGTTAGTCGATGTGGGACTAAAAAACCTAAACAAACAAGCAGATAATGCACTTTACTTCGTCACTTTCCTTCAATGTACGAATTTCAGTTACTAAACTTAAAATAGTTCCAAATAAAGAAGTTAGTGCGGGAATCATTAATGACCATATGAATTCTAATGTTTATCGTCAATATAGTGTCTTCATCATCACCATTTGTGAACAATATATAAGTTTACTTTTTTTTTTCCTGTCAAATAATTTTCTTGCGATCAATGTGAAATCATTTTCTTGTTTTAGGTAGAAATGTATGTTTGAATTGTAGATTGGACATTTATCCAATTAGTCTACCAATGCTTGAAGGAAATTTATTAATAATGCGTTGCATTTTTCTTGAAGTTTTACCTTTAATAATACCATAGTAGTGAATGATGCTTTGGAGGGGAAGATAAATTTGGAGGAAGAAGAAGAGAACCAAAAGGGTAAAGTGCAGGGAAGTCAGCTATCATAATCAATCAATCGATGAACAATATCACAACTGTCAATGAATTTCATTTATCAAGTAACTTAATGTTCTTATTATAATACCCTTTTCTGTAGAGGTCCTAAGGGTTTAGACTCAAACATGACTTTATTTTTAAATAAAGATAAAAAAATCTCAAATCCTCTCAAATTAAAGTCTGGTTTATTATAACCTCTAATTAAAGATAAATATGAAGAAAAAGACCAAAATAAAATGAATCGCTCACAAAAGGAGCAAACGAAGAGAAACAACAAGAAACATGGAAAAAAAAACTAGATGAAAGATAACCACTGATCATTGGCCATGCTGTAATGTAGCAATTTGGACATGCCCTCTTGATTTCAGAATTTCTTTGATTTTTCTTCACGTGGTTCCTTAATTACTCAGTATACGATTCCAAACCAAACCCATTCTTTTCCTATATGTGATGGAAGGATTTTGCAATCTGTAGTTAACAATAAATTTGAAGTTACGTACCTTCTATCTGTGCATAAATGTATCTCCATATATTTATTCCTAAATTATATGACATTGCACTTTTCATATTACTATGTCTATTGTTTTATGCTCCCTGAAAATGACATGAATTTTATGGATTGTAATGCTCATTATGACAGTTGTACAGGAAATGAGGATGTCTGGGTCCATTGTAGCATTTATACATAATATATCTTGTATATTCAGGATTTCCATATATTTCCCTTAGTTACTCCAATTAGCACTTTGAATTGCTTCTACATTTTCCCCCCTTTCATAAATGTTATTGGAAAGATTCTGTTTCTATATCTAGTATGTAATCCCCAATAGATGGTTGTGTATATTAATCTTTATGTTATACCATGTATCTCATTGTGGCATCACTGACCTATCGAAGTCATTGATTTGAAGATTGTAGTAATGATGATGGTCAAGGAACGGATTCTATGCATGCTGGGTCCAATTAAGACAGAATGTGCTTGTGGTATTTTGGGGTATACTTGTAGTATTTTGGGGGTACACATGTAATATTTTGGGGGTATATTTGTAGCATTTTGGGGATACTCGCAACATTTTGGATATGGATCTTATTCTAACTTTTGAGAGCACAAATGTAACCCTTGTATGCTCAAGGGCACTAGTAACTGAAAATCAACTTTGATCTCATATATATGATATTTACATATATGTTGTTTGTTTACAAGAGGCAATTTGTTATTTGTACAATTTGACCGATTTTCTCTAAATTGTCTTCACTTTCTCTTCCTCTTTTATATATTATTATCTTCAATTCTTCAAAAGCTCACTATGGTCCAGTTTATTGATTCATCACCTGTCAAGTTAGTTCCTCACTCGTAATCTACATGCTAAAAGAAATATAGCAAATGTGTGTGTGTGTGTACATACATATATATCTAGATGCTAAAAGAAATATAGAAAATGTTTTTTTTGGGTATATATATGTTACAAATTTGCCGTGTCTCGTACCCGTGCTTCATAACTTGAGGGTATGACTCATTTTAACCCCTTTCTGGGTAGTGGGGTTAACTTAACCCTTTGTGTGTGCTCGCTTTTTTTAGCATTTGGCAAATTAAGAGGGTTAACTCACTTTATTCCCTTTTTTTGCAGGTTAAGAAGGGCTTTATACTTTCGTGCTTACTTATCGGATCGGTTTAGTATTGGGTTTTGTTCATCATTGCTATTAAGTAAGACATCTGAATATTTTTCTCATCATTGCTATTAAGTAAGACATCTGAATCTTTTTCTTTCTTTAGGAATTTTCTCAAATAGATTTTATGCTTAATGGTAATCATATGAAGCAGATAACACTTGGATCTGATTTTAATCTAGTATCTTACATACTAAATTTCAGTTCAAATTTTAGAACCAGGAGTGCATAGTTATTGTCTTTATTACAAAGCAGATAAATGCTCAGTTTAGACGTCTTTTCCATTTTGATTTCAATTTATGCAATACTTAGTTCTCACAAGTGCACCCATCTTTTAACTCTCTCCTTTCTAAGACTGCTGATCATGTTGTTGTCACACAATTTAGCAAGCACTTGGCAACCATAAAGTATAAAATCTCAATTATCATGCAACTTACCAGGTGAATTTGAACTTATCTTTTCAATGCAAATTGCTCAAGGAATATGGTTCTTCATCTTCTCATAGATGAATTTATGATCTTGTTAACCTATAGTGACTTCAGTTTATACATGTTTTACTTTGACAAATGCTTGTTTGTATTCGCTAAAACGAGGTTGCTTTTGTCGAGCTTATTATACCTTATTATAAATTGATGACATAGTTCTTATGGAAAGAATATTTTTCAAAAAAGAAAAAAAGGAAAAAAAGGTTTTGGTTGAGAGCTTACATTTTTTTCTAGGACTTGAATAATTATGACATCAAAACACTTGAAGAAATTATTGAAATTGTATGGTTTGATATAAATACATTAAATAGCTCCAAGTTTAGCCAATGTGGGACTAAGAGCCTCAAAATTCCACAAGTAAATATTCCATCTTTTTCATCATAAGTTCCCTTTTATGTCAATTTGTTCCCTAAAAGTCAGTCTAGAAAACGAAGTTAGTGAATCAACGATCAACAAATAAGTTCTTTGTTTCCCATCCATGTTTAGCATCATCATCTACAATGACTATAGACTTAATTGGCTTCATATCAAATTTTGTTATGGAAGATATGAATTTTTTCCTTTAGCTTTCCTTCTCTCATTACAGATGCGAATATATATATCAGGCTGTTAACCTGTAGTGAATTTAGTTGATAAAAGTTACCTGATGATAAAAGATCCTTTTATGTGTGCTTTATAATGACTAGAATGACCTCACTAATTTCAAGCTTATTATGTGATGTTACAAATAGAATAGCATGAATTTTGGTGAAAACACCAATTTCCTAAAATCAAGCTGTAAAAGTAACGAACTTTACCTTTTACACAAGGATTAAAATGGTTACCTGAACTCATCCTTGGGAAACACTACAACAAGAACTTATTATGTTGTTCAAAGGTTAGTTTAGCACACAAGCTGTACACTACTTTCTCTAGTGAAAATACTCCATCGAGTCAACTTGTCGATCCCACATTGGTAACAAGCTTGCTTAGACTGCACATTTATTGATTATACAATATGTGATATAGTGCATGAATATGCGTTATAATTTAGCCGATGTTAGACTAAAAAGCCTCAAAATGCCATTATAAACAGGCAAATTTTGCAAATTGAACAAATTTTTGAAATAAACCTATTTTATTTTTTTATTTAAAAAATCGACCCAGTGCCTTTTTATTTATCAAAACCGACCCATTTCGGGCCACGTCAGTAGCGTGGCCGCGAAATGGATCGGTTTTTTTTAATTGGCGCCGCTAAATAGTCGGGGTTGGCAACCCCAACTATTTAGTTATGTCGGGGTTGCTAACCCCGACTATTTAGCACAGGTACAAGCTAAAGCAGTCGGGTTTTCTAACCCCGACTAATTTAGGGCCCTATCTAATTGGGTCGAATTTTTTAATTAAAACATTGATCGGGGTTGGAAACCCCGACCATTTCAAAAACCCATTACGAAATGGTCGGGGTTCCCAAACCCGACCATATGGCAGAGAGTCTGGCCCAGTCGCAGCTGATGAAAACGGCTAAGGACAATAGTCGTGGTTTTGAACCCCGACTATTTGTCAACTTGGCCTGCCGTCTATATAAAGGTCACCGCTTCATCTCTCTTATTCCCACTCGTTTCCAGCCGCTGCTCTCTCTCATTTCCGTCGTTCTCCCATACTCCGTTTGAGCCACCAATTGGGGATTTCAACATAATTTTTCGTCGGAATTTCATCTTAGAAGATCTATCAGGTAATTTCTCTAGATTTTCTCCTATTTTAACATGTAGAGAATATAGGTTTTTTTCTCAATAACGAATTTCTAGGGTTTGAACTCTATTTGTAGTGGTTTAATTAGACTATTTATTCTTGTTATAGTTAAAATTAAACATTTGGGGCATAAAATACTCAATTTTAGGGTTTAGGATTTGGGGGTCAATTTTAGGGTTTTGGATTTTGGGGTTTACGGTTATAATTGGGGTTTAGGGTTGTAATTGGGGTTTAGGGTTGTAATTGATAATATTTTTTAAATTTATTGTATTTAAATGATATAATTTTGTTTTGTATAGGTTAAACAATATGATTTTTTTTGTTTGCTCTTATGGTGGAACGATTAATTATGGAATGAATAATATGTCAATGTACGTCGGAGGGGTGACAATACTGTTAATGATATCAGAATCATATAGTTACCTTGTCTTGGTAAATGAATTGCATCGAGTTACGACAATTGACCCACTAGAGTATTGACTAAAAATAATATGCAATTGGCCGATAACTTATGATAGAACGTTCGCAGTTGAGATCTCAAACGATCATTCGATGAGTATTTTGTTTAATTTGAGCAAGTCACAACCAATGGTAGAATTGTTTATTGAAACGGTACGACATAGTACGGGCCAAATATTCAACCCTCCAGAAGAATTCTCACGCATGTTAGATTTGGGAGCTGAGTCTGAAGGCTTTCTTTCTTCTTCGAGTGAAATGCAGCGGACTCAATTTTAATATCACAGTGATGCACCTTCATATGAAGAGGATGAAAGAAGCGACGCCTCTGATAGTGAAGATGGAGATAATGCACCAATCGACGGCATGCAATTTGTGGGTGAAGATGATGAAGAGAATCCGGATTGGCCAGATAAAGCTTATGTTAATAATGAATATGTTGAGTACGAAGAACCATCCTCCGACTAGTTTGAGAATGATGAGTGGGTTCGTTCTTCCACAGTACATGATATACGCATTGGCGAAAGTTCATCCAATAGAGGAGATGATGAGGAGGTCCCTTTCAGAGTTGGTGAATTATTTAAGACTAAAGACCAATTGGTTGATGCTATTCGTGATTACTCAATCAAAAAGTTGGTCAAATTCAAGCAAATTAAAAGCAATCGCACAAGTTATGAGACAAACTGTTTTATGAATACACAAAGGTAAGGTCGGACAGAGGGGAATGAATTTGATTATGCATGTCCTTGGAAGTTATGTGTATTTGTCGGAAAGAAACATAATGGGTATTTTAGGATTACAAAATACTGCGGTGTTCACACATGTAATAATCCAATGTTCGAGAGAGATCATAGTGGTGCCTCCGCCTGCGCGAAGGAGAGTCGACGATTACATTATAGGATGGAGGCCCGAGACAAACACATTCTACCTGCGCCAAGGAGAGTCGACGATTATATTACAGGATGTTGGGGTTTTGCTTGGACTCAGAGTGGATAGCGATGTTGTCACAGGTAGCAACGACTTCGACTAGCTAGGGAAGTGTGAAGCATTGCTGGGTTAAGTTCCTCACATGAGAGGTGGAAGGATCAAACTTGAATGGTTGAGAAACAATTACATGAATGTTCCGATCGATGCGACCGAGGAGATCGTCAAGATGTATGCCCGTGCATACATACTTCACATGATAGGTACTATTATTTTCCCGCATTCCACGAAGGATTCGGTGCATGTGAGGTGGTTGCCACTCCTGGAGGATCTTGTGGATTGTGGGGGATTGTCATGGGGGAGTGTCGTGTTAGCGTATCTGTATAAGGAGATGACCAAAGTGGCTCTTGTTCAAAACAAAAACTTCAAGGGTTGTCTCACTCTGCTACATATATGGTCTTGGGAGAGATTACATTTGGGTTGCCCAGATTTGAGAGAGACACGTGCTCTCGATGGCCATATTCCGTTAGGCTGCAGGTATTACTAAGTTATTTTGAAAAATATATGATTACATGTAATTTTATATATTTATTTCAATTAAGACTAACTTATTGTATATAAATTAGATGAAATGTATTCAGATCTTAGCATACCTCACCAAAGGGCCATGAAAACTTCTATAGGAATGAGCTCGATCAAATGGAGGACAAACAAGTATTAAATCATAATATCTAAAAAATTTCAATCATTACATTATTTATTACTAAAATCTGCTTTATTTTATCTTTTTATAGGTCAAGTGGATGCTATATGAACTAGTTTTAGAGTCACTACCAGATATATGCAGAGAAGAGCCGAATGTATGGCGTGCTCGTGTCCCGATCATATGTTTTGAGATTGTCGAGATGCACGTGTCCGACCGTGTGCTCCGATAATTTGGGCTACAACAACATATCCCGAACCCTGTGGAGATAATAGAGAGAAATCTCAGAAAAGGTGCACATCGTCAAGATTAGAAACATATTCACAGTGCTTACATCGGGAGGTGGGATTATAGGGAAGAACAGTTGGTGATGGAGAGGGCCGACACATCTGACCTAGGTGTGTATTTGCGATAGTATTGGGGGATTACTCGCCGGTGGATATTTCAGGAGAACAAAGTCCCTTAAGGAGTTTATACCAAGAGGCCCAGTTGAGAGAGAATTGGTAAGTGTATAAGTAAAATATACAGTTATCTTGTGAGTTTTATTTTATTATCATCCAAATCATAATAGCTTTCTTAGGGTTTTTATCTTATAGGTACAAGAGCTCGAAGAACTTTCTACTATGGCACATGATACAATCCGAACGACTACCGAGCCAGGGCCGAGGAACACGTTCATTCACATGATCAAAAGATTCGGTCCGCTCTGCAGAGGACGCATAATGCAAGACGTGATGGATGTGAGGAGCGATCAATTGATTACGGTCGTCGACTGTTCCGAGGACACACGGGGGCAGGCTCAAGCGGTGCACATGATGAAGCTGGCGGCTCACAGCAAGCCCAAGCCGGATGTTCACAGTCGGTTCGAGTCGATGAGGATGTCATGCACTCCCAACTTCACACACAACCGGACAAGGAACTCATCCAAGCTCACGTCGAAGGTGAACGTGTCAGGGGGAGGGGGAGAGGGAGAGGAAAGGGAGTTGTATCCGATTGAAACATAATATTATGTATCTGATTGAGTATTGATAGGATGTTTGCGTTTGAAACTAAATATTATGTATTCGATTGAGTATGGATTTTCAGTTGAGATATTTGATAGGATGTTTGCGTTTGAAACTAAATATTATGTGAATTGCATGGTATGTATCCGATTGATTATGGATTTTCAGTTGAGGTTATTAATTGGTATGTGTATTATTGTTATTGTGATTGCATTGTGGATTGATATGTAACAGCAGGAGTTTGAATTTCCAGCTGAAAATGAGTCTGCCAAATGGTCGGGGTTGGGAACCCCGACCATTTTGTGCACGCACACAAAACGATCGGGGTTCCCAAACCCGACCATTTTGTCGTAGGGTAATTCTCCTCTGCTAAATGGTCGGGGTTTTCAACCCCGATCGTATTCAGCTCCATTCGACGATTGGGCCAGAGCTCTCTGCCAAATGGTCGGGTTTGGGGACCCCGACGAATTAGACAGGGCACTAAACTAGTGGGGGTTGGCAACCCCGACTAATTTAGCTTGTGCATAACTAAATAGTCGGGGTGCCCACCCCCGACTATTTAGCGGCGCCAATTAAAAAAAAACCGACCCATTTCGCGGCCACGCTGCTGACGTGGCCCGAAATGGGTTGGTTTTGATAAATAAAAAGGCACTGGGTCGATTTTTTTAATAAAAAAATAAAATAGGTTTATTTTGAAAATTTGTTCTTTGCAAATTTGTTATCTCTCTCATTAGTTATGTATAGGATTGGATTTCTCCTCTCAACACCAGATTAGTAATTCTAATTTCATAGGAGAACCACCGACGGTAGAATCAGTTATATGTTTCTAATCCGTAAGGAATTTTCATTATCATATACAATGGATATGGAACCAATTTGCTTCCTATGGAATGATTGTGTTTTAACAAAATGAGATTTTTCTTTGATTTTCTTTCTTTCTCATATGGAAATGTCTATGAATATAATAGATACATGTTTCCTTGTGACAAAGGAAGCTTCACTAATTTTGAGCTTACTATGTACTTCTATAGAGTGAATGGTGGATCCTTAAGGAGAAGGATGAGTTTCTCAAATTAAGCTACACAAAACAAACTTTTAACTTTTCCGCAAGGAATGAAGTACAAAGAAGATGACCGTCTGAGCTAGTCCTATGGAAACGCTAGAGTGAGAAATCTTAACGTGGTTTGAGGTTAGCTGAGTGCAAGAGCTATCCGTTCCACTCATTCTAGTGAAAAAAAATCTCATTCAATCATCTTGTAGACACTGCATAGGTGACAAGCTCGCAAGACCAAGTTAGGCATTAGTCGATTTTGCAGTATGATGTAAATGCATGAATATACCTTCTAGTTTAGTCGACAAGGGACTAAAAAGCCTAAACAAACAAGCGAATCATGCAAAGTTTTTATACAACAATACAATATATTGTTTTTCTTTAAGTTTCTTTCTTTCATTCACAAAGGTGATGTATATGATGATGTTAGCCTATAGTGAATTTAGTGGATATAAATTTGCTGATGGTACCCCACTCTCTGTTATGTATTATAATCACTAGAATGACCCCACTAAATTTGACCTTATTATGTGCTGTGACAAAGTGACTGACATGAATTTTGGTGAAAAGACCGATTTCCTAACATTAATCGGTAAAGGTAACAAACTTTCCCTTTACAAAACCTGATCATCTGAGCTAGTCCTTGGGAAACACTAAACAAGAAATTGTAGTGTGGTTCAAGCGTTAATTGAGCATGCACTCTGTACTACACTTGTTCTAGTGGAAACACTCCATGGAATCAACTTGCAGCTCCAGCATGGAAAGCAAGCTTGCTGAAAGTCCATATTAGTTGATTGTACAATATGATGCAATACACGAACATGCCTTTTAGTTTAGCCAATGTTAGACTAAAAAGACTTGAAAGGCATTATGAACAAGTAGATATTGTATTTTCCTTTCATCAATGACAGAGCCAGGAATTTATCACAGTGGTGTATTGAGGGACCTTTGGGGTTTTTTGAAAAAATGCCAGCGATGGATCAAGACCAAAACCCCTATCTATCTACAACTCGTGACCCTATCTCTGTCTCTCTCTCTCCAAAAAACGCCCCCAACCCCTCCTCCATCAAGCCGACGGTGAGTCACTCGAGCTCCCCTAAGTCCGCCAACTCTGACGACTTCATCAACTCCGTCGTACTTCGCCAACTTCCCCCTCGATCTCCGTACTTAGCCGACTTCACCAACTTCGATGACTTCACCAACTCCGCCGTACTTCGTCGATCGTCGTACTTCGTCGACTTCACCAACCCCCAACTTCGTCGACTACCCCCTTCTCCGTCGACTTCCCCCTCCTCCGCTGACTTCCCCTAACTTATCCGACGCCGACTACCCCAACTCCACCGACCACGACCGATCTCCCTCGAGCTCGTTCTCGAGATCTCCCAACTCAGGTAACGATCAAGCCCCAAAATTCTCTGTCATTTTTTCAGTATGTGTATAGTTTATTTGTTGGAGGTTTTTATTTTTATGTGTTTAATTTTAATGGGTGTCTTTTAGTTTTTTTGATCGTGAGTTAGTTTGAGATTGAGATTTGGGCTAGGGTTTGTTGAATTGGATATTGTGCTTGTTTTTGGTCTGCAAAAAATCAATGATATTGAGATTTCTTTTTGATCTGGAAATTGGGTTGTCTGTTATCGTAGCCTGAAAAAAATTAATATGATTAAGTGTTAGTTTTTGATCTGGATGCCTAATATGTGTTTAAAGCAATATTGGAAGGAACAATTAGAAGAACTGACCTTACTATTGAATGTCAAAATGAGATTTACTATGACATTATATATTGTAAGTGCGATCAGAAAAGAACTAGGTTATAATGTCCAAAAATTAAGTCTTTTTTTCCTCATATTATTTTCTGTTTTATATTGCCTCCATTTTTTTTATAGGTTAATTACAATTTTTAGTGTGAAATGGAAAACTTGGATACTGAAGCTAATGAAGTAAACTTGGACGATGATGATTTGATATACTCCTCAAGTATCAGATGAGTTGAGGCAAAAAAAGGGGTAAGAATTTGACACAATAGATGATAGATGATGTTATGACATTCTACAATGCTTATGCTAAAGCAGCTAGGTTTAGTGTAAGGTCTTAGACTACTCAGAAAGAGCCGAAAAGTGGTGAAATAAGAAGGAAGGAGTATGTTTGTTTTAGGTTAATAGTGATGATTTGTGCCTTCTTAACTGCATGGAAATGTTTTAGGCTCTTCATTTTAATCTCATGATTGAAGAAAGCTTGAGGAGCACATCCACAACATTTCTACAGGGAGTTGTTGGCTTTCTTGATTCGTAGATGAAGATTAAGTGAGTGAGGAAATTGTGCCTTCTACGTGCGTTTGTTACGTTGTTATGTACTCAATGATGTTTCGAAGCTGATGTTTGTTTGTAAGGTGGGTTGATTTGTATAACTGAAGCTGATTGTAATTGATTTGGGAATTCGGAGCTGATGTTATGTTGTTAGGGCAGTCTAATTGGAGTTAATTTGTATAACTAATGTTGATTTCGAAGCTGATGTTATGTTATGTTATGTTGTTAGGGCAGTCTGATTGGAGTTGATTTGTATAACTGAAGTTGATTTGTATAAATGAAGTTGATTTCGAAGCTGATGTTATGTTGTTATGTTTGTTTGATTCAGGTTTTATTCAGGTTTTGATTGTAGCTGAACGTGAACATGATTTTGTAAACTGTTATGTTTGATTCAGGTTTTGATTAGAAGCTGATGTTTGTAAACATTGGCATTGCATATTAAATCATGTGTCTTTATGCTGAATATTGACATTGCATATTCGGTTCAAGAAATTAACACAAACAGGTACAAAAGCACAGGTTATTGTATCTTGATTTCTTGAGATCCATCCTCATTCCTTCAATCATATCCTTGAATGGCTGAAATATCAAGAAATTACAAACGCTAACAAGCACGGTCTCTTCTAATAATCATCAGGATCAAAGAAATAAATTTGAACGAAAATAAGGTTTCTGTACTTCAATACCATACTCAGATTCTTGTATCATATATAACCATTTACTGATTTGTAAAAAACTTCACATCAATGTAGAGAAGGGGATTTGAATCAGACTTCAAGCAGCAAGCTTATATAGCTTAGATAACCAAAAAGCATTTGAAAAAGGTTAGATAACTGAATTTGCCAAATTTCTCCAAACACGACAACCTGTCATCAATAAAACAACACAAAGCTCATGCAAACCGCAAAACCTTTCAATAACAAAGCAAGACAAAGATCACAAAATCACGCACAACAGCAAATGTAAGGAACAATACAAGAACAACAGCCACAATTACACAACAACAAAGGACTTATTTCACTAATATTTAGAAAAGATCACAAAGATTACAGTGCCATAACTTCAGCCAGTAAAAGCAACCTCAACAGACTCAGACACTAAACATCACCGACGCCAAACTGGATACAAGACTCGACAACAACAGACAATACGAGCCCCAGCTAAAACACCAGAGAAACCAAAAATGAAAAGATAACATCACATGTTTTTTGTAATGTAGAAACCAACAAATACCGCAATGATACATACGAGAAACACTACTATTGTAAACAATGAACCTAATACAAAAGCATTGATGAAGAAACTAGCCGTTGCCCCAAGTTTTTCATTGTCCTCATCCAGATTATGCCTAACTGAATATCTTTGTTCTTGAGCATAAATAGATGTCTGGACATGCCTTGAGCTGGATGCTGAATCACGAGCGAGTGTGTGCTTCTCCCATTCAATCAAAACCTCTTCGTACATTGCATACCCTTTGTAGAAGGTATTTGGGAATTTATCTATCTGAGATTTGCATTCCTCCCAATTATAAAAAATACCACATCGTCGACCTCTCTTCGCAACATAAAAACTCTTTCTTATCATGGATAACCTGAAAATATTTGTATACATGACTTGCATTGTGAAAATAAAAAAAAAATGAAAAGAAACAGAGGATAACACTAAACTGGGAGTTGCTTTCTTATTCTGTTATGCTTTCTAGTGAAGAGTAAATTGTATTGTGAGCATGTTGATATTATCTTAGCTAACAATGAAGTCCTTTGCTTGCAGTTTTGCAATGCATCAACATAGACAACATGATGGGTAACAAGAGAAGAAAGGTGATTCGTCACCTACAACTACCATGTATGTATGTGCATGAACCCTTTTTGTATTTGCCAAATATATATTTAATTAAAATGATAAATGCAATAAGCCCCATCACAGTAATCATGTCCCAACTCCAAGTCATGGACACATGAAACTGGAGGAGTATAATCTTTTTACGATAGAGTGTTGAGATTTTTTCTAGTTGACTAGGTGAGTACTCCAGAACTACATTCTTTTGGACTTCATTGATATGTATGAAATGTTGTTG